TGCCTCTAACATGTGAGAGAGAGGGGGAGAGAGAGTATTTAGAATTCGAACTAGATTTCATTGTTATGTGCACTAAAGTACAGGGGTACAGGAGTACCGTGGAAAGTGTACAATGTTGCCATTCCCGGAGTTATCTTAGATACAAAGTAGAAAAGCAAAGAAACAAAGTTAGAAGTTAAACATTATTGTCCTGCTTAAAAATATAGAAATGAGGTTTAAAAGTTCACCACTACAGCCTTTATTAAGTGCTTAGTCATGCTGGGCTAGCACTCCCTGCATAGGCTCGATCTCCTTCGCTTTGGCCTGCTCTACCCACACGAGTTTGCAACAGATGTTGGCAGATCTCAGACTGCCTGCCCTCGACACTACTGCAGCTGCTGGGGATCCTCCCTCACCCACTGCATTGAGCTCACTCTTCCTGCAGGGTGCTCAATTTCCAACTACCAGAGTCTCGATCCAGGCCCCCAGCCGCTGCCAAGCGCTGGACACTGACAAAGAGCCATGCCATCATTGCCACTGCCTCCATGCCCGAGCTCTCATATTAAAGTCAGTTGTTGTGTTTGGGAGCAGGACATGGCACAAGGGATTAGGACCACTGTTCATGTGGATGTTAAGAACCAGGAGAGAGAGAGAGAGAGAGATAGAAAACTAGTGGTGGTTTGATCCGAAAGTTACCAAACCTGCCATCCAGCCAACTAAGGTGACTGACCCCTGATCGATGTTATATATCTTTTGTATCTCCAAGAGCAACGTAGGCATGACAAGAAGGGTCTAGACCCGAAACATCAGCTTTCCTGCTCCTCTGTTGCTGCTTGGCCTGCTGTGTTCATCCAGCTCTATACCTTGTTATCGCAGGCATGACACTAGTTTTGATATGGAACAGTTTTACTCTCAATGGTTAAAATGCTTCTAGCAGCTTGAATGTCTGGCTGGCTTTGTTTGCTTTTCTCTAGTTATGTTTGAACATGGCCTCAAAGATGCACAATGAGCATGAGCAGGAAACAGGGTCACCTAAAGAAACACAGAAAAATAAAAGACCACAGTGGAATCTGTGTTACATCAAGCTAACGAAGATTCACAATATAAAAGTTACACCAGTGTGCGGATCTCCTGTCCACAGCTACACCTGGGCCAATAACAGTGCAATCACCCTTTATTCTCTTCTCTGTAGTGATTCACAGACCAGACACAGAGTTGCCAAATCCCTGTATCTGATGGAGAAGAAAGCTGAAAGAAGAGATGTGCATAAACTAGGGAAGGTAGTCTCTCCAAACAGCTGAGCAACAGTGAGAGCTGTGACATTCACCCCTTTATTGGCCTTTTCCATGCGGGAAATGCGTGGGAGCATTGGGTATCTTGTAGGTCACAACTAAGAAAGAGAGGTGAGGATGTGGTGAGGTTTATGGAGAGCAATCCAGTATTCAAATCCAGACAAATGAATGTATGACTGCCATTAGTTGGAGAGATTGAAGGATATGGTCAGGAGAAAGAGAAGTGGACAAGGGGTCAGAATTGGTGGAATGAAAAATACTCTTAAATAATGTGAGGTAATTTATTTGTGTCTTTGGGTGGCATGCACTAGCCTGAGGGACTGACTCTGCTGTCTACAAACAATCTGTGTATTAATCTCTTCTTCAGGATTTTAGTTACATTTCTTTAACACAACCCACATAGTTAATCTTGCATTGCTGTAACACAATCCACACAGTTAATCTTGCATTGCTGTAAGATAGAGTTGCGATTCCATTCTTACAAAGGTGGCAATATGACTGACAGGTGGCAAGTTGGCAAATTGTCTTGAGTCGTTGCGGTTTAGATTTTGTACTGGGTGCATTTGAAAAGTTATTGTTTAACAATTTGACTTCAGGAAAAAAACATACTGCTGTACCCTGTGAAACTAGCCAGACAATGAGGTGATATGCTATCATGATATGAGGTGCGGTGATATGCTGATTGTCTGCCATTGTATATACTGTGATACTTAATTCAACTCCCACGACATAAGGAGGAGATGTGGGGCACATGGTACCCTGAAAATGTTTATTATAGAATCTAGTATCTACTTATGTACATTACAACCACAGACACTTGTGTGTCTGGGCTCAAGCTAAGAAATTCTTTTGTCCTGTAACTCCCATTTTTCAGCATGCCATGCTGCAAGAGGATAGAGCTCAGTAAGATGGAGACTGAGACCTGCCATCACATGGTGATGATATTGTCTACATGTGGCTTGAAGTACATAGCACAAATGTTGCAGGACTGAATGGCAATGAATGGTCCACTGTATAACTCTGTCCTCCCAGCTATGTGATACTGTTTATGGATGTTGACCTCACATTGGTATCTGCAACATTACTGCAGCCATAGGCTTGCATTCTACGGTGTTGCAACAATTTTGGAATTCCTAAAGATGATTGGAAAGTGGCAGGAATCACGCCTCAGCCTGCTGTAGGCACGATAAGGTGCTACTGACAGAGCCAATTATTATGCAAAATATCAATTCCCACCACCAGCCTTCAATAGACACCAAAACATTTTGACAGATTTTCATCAAACTTTTCACAAGACCTTGTTCCTTGGCTTCCTCCAGACATTCTCAAACTGAGATTAGATTGTTATCCTCCTGTGCGCTCATAACTTCGTTTTTCCAGGCTTCTGCTATCCAGTTCAGACTCAGTCTTCCTTTGAAAACAGACATGCTAAAAAAACTTCTATCAAAGTGTCTCACAAAATACTAAGTTTTGAATAAATTGTTACAGGTGGAAAGCTACCTTTGTTTCTGTTTTTCAATTAAATGCAGGACAGCTGTCTGAGAGAAATGTTAGCAACTCATGTTGCCACTGAAGTCCAATGACAGTAGATGGTTTGACACTTGAAGAAGTAAATTGCATTTGCTGCTGAAAAACGTCCATGATTTGGCTTGATTTTACTTTCACATGGAGGGTCCAGTTGCAAATAGTTTTGGATTTTGTGCCAATATTTTCACACGGGATGTATATTTCCATTATAATTAAATATACAGAGCCTGTCCTGGAATTCTCCTGAGCTGTTGTGAGTTTCTTACTGCAGTTTTTTTTTCTGTCACGATCTTAATCTATTGGCAGGTCACCTTTATAATAATGGACTCTAAAGTGTGGGATGGAATCAGGTGGAGATAGAGGTAGAGGAAGTGGGAAGGGTGTTTAATTTCACAAGTGGTGACGTATCTGCCCCCTTTCTCTGCCAAAATTAACTTTAGGATGGGATGGCCCTTGGTTGACCTTCCCACTACCAATTGAGGTCATTATTGAGGTTGGTTGGCTCACTGAGCTAGTTTGTTGTTCCAGATACGTTTCATTATTGGCCAATTCAGAACCATTTTAAGGCTTCAACCCATCATCACAGGGATTACAGGAAACCAAGCAGCATCTGGAGGAAAGGAGCAGTCAACGTTTTGGTTTCAGGACAGAAGAAGGGTAATACCTGAAATGTTGATTGCTCCTTTCCTCCAGATGCTGCCTGGCTTGCTGAGTTCTTCCAGCCTCCTGTGAGTCCAGCATCCGCAGTGTTTTTTTGTCTCTAGTCACAGGGAATAACCTGGCGCAAGAAGACCCTGGCCTTCCTGGGAGCAAATTGAGTGTGAGCTGTTTGCTCCTGGATCCTTTGACTCCAGGGCTGCTCTTCCAACATCAGTGACAGCTCTCTTACTGGCCAGCCATTCTTGGCTGCTGGGGCTTCAGTTTCTCTCCTCCCTGGCTCTGTTTCCACTGGAAGGCACATTCCTGAAACTCTCTGATTGGCAGATGATCCACCAGATCTCTTTAGATGACACGGCGTTGGTCTAGAGCTGGCAGGCAAGATCTGCAAAGCCAGTTGGATACTTTGCCCATAGTCCCAACTGCAATGTAAATGATTGTCATTCACATCATCTACGCGGAGCTGAAATATTGCATTGGTGAAATATCTTCTATTTAATCCCCATTTTTGTGAAGTAATGGTTTGTGGTATAACAGGGCTGGGGGGGGGGGAGGTGAAGAAACGGTTGTGATATGGATTTCTCCCAAGCTAAAGGAGTACAACATGTTGCAATTCGACATAAGCAAAACTGAGTGCTGTAGATCTGGGTGGAGTGCATAACAGAAGGCACATGAGATGCTGCCTGCTTTATCCCACCAATAATAAATTCATTCTCCCTTTTTGTTATTCACTTGTGGGATTTGGGAATCACAGGCTTCGCTCATATTTATTGTCTGTTCCTAGTGGGCCATGAGAAGGTGGTGGTGAGGTGCCTTCTGGAAACACTGCAGTCTGTGTGCTGTAGGTAGACTTACAATGCCCTTAGAGAGAGAACGCAATGGTTTGATCTCATGACACTTGTGACCAATATTTAGGGTGGTGTGGTGGCTCAGTGGTTAGCACTGCTGCCTCACAGCACCAGGGACATGGGTTAGATTCCAGCCTTAGGTGACTGTCTGTGTGGAGGTTGCACATTCTCCCTGTCTCTGTGTGGGTTTCCTATGGGTCTTCTGGTTTCCTCCCACAGTCCAAAGATGTGCACGTTAGGTGGATTGGCCATAGGAATTGCAGAGTTTGAGGGATAGGGAATGGGGTGAGGCTGGATGGGATGCTCTGGGAGGGTCAGTGTGGACTTGATGGGCCGAGTAGCCTGCTTCCACACTGTAGGGATTTTATGATTATGTCTCAGTAAGGTCAATGAAGCCATTCATATATGTGGTGACTAATTCTAAATTTTCAAGTTTCTATTTATAGAATTTCTGATGAAGGGAAGAATGAAGGATCTGATGTTTGGATTGAATCTCTCCCAAATCATTCCTAGCCTTCTTGCTTTAGTTTGTGGAGTGTGAAGCCAGCTTTGAATCTGTATGTGAATGGCACTGACATGGTTGGCGGGGTACAGTTATGAAGAGCACAGCGCCTCCAAGCAAGCCGTTTATCGTGCATTATTCTCTTGCTTTCAAAACCCAAAGAAAACATCTTCAAATTGTGAACTTTCTTTTTAGCTTGTCCACCGGGGTCGTACAAGATGGCGGCTGGAGAAGCAGCGTGCTCCTGGTGCCCTGAGCATAGTTACACAGAAGAAGCAGGATCTGTGCAGTGTCACTGTAAGGATGATTACTATCGACTGGCTTTGGATCCTCCATCAGCCCCCTGTACCAGTAAGTCTGTCAGTAATTTGCAATTATTACATATTAACTCAGTCAAATTATTTTCCTGAAATGTTTGAAGGATTTGTTAAGAGTAGAACTGAAGCTTCTGACAGAAAAAAAAATCTGATCAACATTTACTGGCAAGGCTGTATATGTTCAGAATAAGATTAGGTCTTTTAATAGTGAAGTGTACCTTAGATCTTTGGGCCTTTTAATGTGCATTATGGTTGTGTCTTAAATAAATCACTTAACCCTTAAAGCTGAATCTTGGATGTGAATAATGTCATTTCTATAAGGGTGTTATGAAAGTTGGGAATGTAAATTACAAAAGTAAATTAATAATTGCTGTTCATTTTATGACAAATTTTATAAAGGAACAATCTCAACATGTAAATGCATAAATATTTCCTATTTGGTTTGTTTCATAAAACTATTCTTTAAATTCTGTAGTCTTTTGGATATTCAAAGTTATTCTATTTGGTTATTTCCCAATCTTTCCCGACTTTTCCATGTTGTTGCGGAGTGGAAGAGGGTAATGTGTTTTCTGAAGAACAGGTTGCTTGTCCCCCATTAAGTCAGTGTACAGGTCCAGAGTATTGTCTACCCACTATCATCATCTTGCATGTAGACAGGTCTTGGAGTGAAACGCAATTATGTCGATATGTCCGTCCTGGTCTTCCATAGTAACGTGACCGCTACCATACAGCACATTAATTGCAGCCACCGATCTTAGGGCCACTTCAGTAAGGTATCAGTTCTGACCACACAGATGTCAATAGAGTTGAGAACATGGTGTCAGAAGTGAAGCTGGAGACTAGCTGTTGAAGCACTGTACAGAAACACAGCTCCTGGTAGTGAGAGAGATGCAGGACTGATCAGAGCTATGAAAGCTACTACAAGCCACTGAAATAAAATGAAAAAGAACAAAGAAACAGGTCACCACTGCAACCCAGTGAGAGAACAAAATGGCTGTAACTTTTCCTGTCCAACTCTGGTCTAAATGGAAGGAAATATGAACCAAAACTGGCACAATGACAAAATTATGAAACACTAACAAATCTGTTTAATAAGCCAGAGCTGCTACTCATCACTATAATCTTATCATTGTTGGGCAGGGACTGTTTCAAAATGTATTTCATCCTGAATCACTCCAAAAAACAAACTTCAGAAATTTTGAAAACCTTGAAGGCAAGCTTTGAACCTCAAGTGAACATAACATATGAATAGTGCGGGCTCAATATTAGGGCTCAGGATGAAAAGAGGTCAGTTGACATATTTGATCAATTCAGATCACAGAATCCTGTAAACCTGTGCAACTAAATAACAATCTGCTTAAAAGATGGGATTGCATTGGCAGAAAGAGATCCTTCAGTGAGAGCATGTCTACAGGGAGAGGAGAAACTCACTCTCTGGAAAGCAGTTAACCTGTGGAAACATGCCAAGGTCATGACTCAACAGCTACAGCATATTCATGTACAGATTGGTCTTGCGTTTTGCCAACAGATATGCTTAAGGCACACAGGGCAGAACAATCCCTGACAAGATGTGGAGGGGCTGATGTTGGACTGGGATCAGAAGTCACACGATACCAGGTTATAGTCCAATAGGTTTGTTTGAAATCACAAGCTTTTGGAGCGCTGCTCCTTCATCACCTGACTCTGAAAGCTTGTGATTTCAAATAAACCTGTTGGACTATAACCTGGTGTTGTGTGATTTCTGACTTAATGCCAGACAAAGGGCAGGCAGCAATTAGTGCAGAAGACATCATGCAAAGGAGAAGAAGGAATGTGCAGTGTGGGATGGCAGTGTCCTCACTGCATGAAGGTGAATAATTTTGTACACAAGTGCATTCCTAGCAAATAAAGATGTCCACTGGAGAGGTAACGGCTGAAGAATCTGATGAATTGCACTACACTATACACCAGGCAGGTTGAGATACAGTGATTGATGAGATATGTTGGGTGACTTTTGCCATGATGTCAGCAGAAGGAGAGCATCAGTGTAAAATGTCTCAATCGTGGCCACTTTCCTTAGGGAAAGATGTTAATATATTGGAAGCAGTTGAGAGAAGGTTTACAAATACCTGGAATGGTATTATAAGGAAAGGCTGGACAGGCCTGTTTCCTCTGGAGTTTAGAAGAATCAGAGGTGACTTAATTGAAACATATAAGATCCTGAACAGACTTGACTGGATGGGTGTTCAAAGGATGTTTCCTCTTGTAAGAGAAAATAGAACTAGGGGTCATAGTCTGAAAATAAAGGGTTTCCTATTTAAGAAAGAGATGGAGAAACATTTATTTCCTAGAGTGGGTTATGAATCTTTGAAATTCCCTTCCTCAAAAGGCAGTTGATGCAAAATCTTTCAACACTTTCAATGCAAGGGTAGATATTTTCTTGATTACCAAGGGGCTGAAAGCTTGTGGGGGAAATGTAGGAATGTAGAGTTGAGGCTAAAATCAAATCAGCCCAATCTTATTGAACATAGGAGCAGTTTCGAGGGGCTGAGTGACCTATTTTTATTCCATGTTGGTATGTTGGTATGCCAGCTAGACAGTGGTGCGACATGGGAAATCATGATCTTCAGAGACCTGTGTAAAGTGACTCAACGTAGTGATCCGAAAGTGAAATCCTCTGAAGTGAGGTTAAGAATTCATGATGGCACAATACTTGTACTGAGAGAATAGTTTGCCTTGAAAGTCTATTATAATAACCCAAATGAAGATCTGGAGTTCCAGATCATAGACTTCAAGCAAAAGCTGCATACGTCAGCTGGAGTGAGTTTAAAACATGGATAGATGACCCTCAACATGTCAAAGAGATGAGTAAGATGTCACCGCACAGTCAACGATCGAGCATAAAATGGATCTGAGGGAAGTACTGCAGTGTCTTTATAGGTTTAGGATGTCTTCCCGGAGAATATCATCTCAAAATGGATGAAATTTTAAGACCAATTCAGTATCTTGTGAGGAAAGTTCCAACTGTCTCCCAGGCCAGTCTGGAGGATAAAGTGGAAGAGCTGGAAAAGGAGGAAGAAATCAATCTTCCAGACCGGATTAGGAATTTGGCAGCAAGGAAACAACCCGAAAAGCTGAGAGTATACATCAAGGCAAAGGACTCCATTATGCCAATTGTCCAAAGAATCTTGTCACAAAATGCAAAGGTTATATCATTACAACCCTCAGTGCTAAGGTTGGTTACTGGTAAGTGAAACAGTAGCTTTTAAAGCACATTCTGGACCGTGTTTGGCAGATACACTTAGTTGTGCATGTTGTTTTGCATATTTAGGGTGCAGAGGCCTGTACACAATATGAGATATTTAGTGACCTTCCTGGAGTGGAAGCTGCCCTAGATGATCTGCTGGTACTTGGATTCAAGGACACAATGGAAGAAACCATTGCTGACCATGATCAAAATCTGGTATGAGTGCTAGTCAGAGCTTGCCAGATGAACCTGAAGCTGAACAAGAAAAAGTCACAGGTAAAGATCCCCAAATCATGTACATAGGCCATGCACTGACAGAAAATTTCACCCAGATCCAGAGAAGGTGAGAGCTGTCCAAGTGTTGCAAGGGATAGTGATGACAAGGTGACCTGAAAGCACCATGGACATACCTATTGCTGTAAAAGTATATTGGGCTTACAGAGATGAACCAACAACCCAAGGTAGCACATTGTACAGGATGACTACAAGGCAGACACTGGGTGGAGGAGCACACCTACTGCAGACATGGAGACTCACCCAAGAGAAAGACTAATATCCCATCACACACAAACTGCTATTCCAACAGCAATAAAACAAATGGAGCCAGAAGTAGTAAAGGGCATCGATGCCCAAATCCAGATGGAACAGCGAGAAGCCAAATTTCATTTTGACAAGACTGCTAAACCATTACCAGAGTTGAGTTTTGGAGAGCCAGTCAAGGTATAAACCTACAATACTCTCAATGAGAGTCAAACCATGTGGCAGCTTGGACCTGCATAGAGCAGTTGTCAGCTCAATAGTACATGGTGGAAGTGCACATCCCAATAGACTGTCACAGCCACAGGCACATACACACAACTAGAAAAGCTGTTCCTCAACTGTAAGCAGCTGATCAGGAAGATATGTACTTAGGACCTGATCAACTATCAGAACTAGAGTCCAGATCAACTCAACAACCAGAGTGGAACAACACCAATAAGTACCATGGCACCAAATAAGGGCATGGGAATGACACTCCCTGGAGAAGAAATACAATTGAGATGAACAGCCACTAACAACACCCACGCACACACATACCAAGAAGAGACCAGCATGATTTAGAGACCATGTATGCAGTGCATATGCAGAAACTGGTGAGAATAACAAACTGTTAATGCTTGAGGATGGGACATTTAAGAAAGAGGATTTTTGGATTGAAATGCAATCATCCCCAAATGTTCTTCCTGGTCCACTGTAATCACGTGACCTCTGTCAGGCCAGCCATCCTAGCGGCACTACAATAAAGGTTCTATTCTGACCAAAATGCTGAGTATGGAGCTGACAGTATGTGGACAAGCAGTGGGCATAGCATGTGAATAGCACATTGTAAGATTTTCGAGGTAAATCTGTAAGGATGGCGCTGGGGTGGAGTTGGGTGTTGGGTGCTTATGCATCGCAAGGGGTATTTTGGGAGATTTGTGGTTGTAACTAGGCAAGGAAAATACCATGTCAGAGAGACTGGGAGGAAGATGAAATAATGAGGCTGTTGAATATTCGCAAGGAAAGACCTTAGAGTGAAAGCAGAGAGCTCGTTGACAACTTGTCGATATTTTTGTGGGTACATTTAGGAATGTTCAGACATGTTATGACCTGTCTCAGGATCACATGGGATTTGAACCAAGCCTCCTGGCCCAGTGGTAGGGACACTATCACTGCACCACAAGACCTTTCAAACTTGTGCATTGTAAACAGAGTGGGAAGTTCTAAATGTCATCAGAGCTAAAATTGAGTGAAGAGGGAGAAAGAGATACTCATAGGGAACCAAAAGT